TAGGGTTGATGCTCCTGAGAAAACAGGGACCAACTCTAGATTGGACGCTGAAGAAGTCTGGGCAATTCTGTGATTGGGTACCCTGGTCATTTCTCTCCAGGAGTCAAGGAGATTAAATTGTCATTGGGAAAGAAGTAGCAGAAAGGGAGGGGAGGTGTTCAGCTTTGTTTGTAGGTTCAGAGCTGTGCTCTGGCCATACGTGGCTGTCGAACACTAGAGATATGGCTAATCCTATTAATTCTATTAATCCACCTTGGGATTCGAAGGCTTAGTACAAAAAAAGAATATAAAATTAATAATTTTTCCCATTGCACCCATGTCGACATAACATTACAGATGTATTGGGAGAAAATCAAATATATTAAAATTAACCACAGTGTCTTTTATTCTTTTCAATGTGACTACTAGAAAATTTGAAGTCAAGTGTGGCTTGCTCAGGGGCTCACATTATATATATAATTGGTGGAGAGCTGTGGATGTAGTGGGGTTGAGTCACTAGGTACCATTTCTTCCAGGTCTGTCCCTGCAGCTGGCCCCTCCTTCCCACTCCTTTTGGTTAAGACTTCAGGCAAATGATTATTTCTCTCTCTTCTGGAGAAGCGAGCCGATTCTCAGGTTGATTCCTTCCAGCACAAATGATGCTTCTCTTACTAGGATGCATTTCTGAAAAATTGATGATAAAGGGGACATGCTTGCTTTTTATGAAGTATTTTTCAAAGGCTTCTTTAAGATGAGGCTTACCTATATTTAAAGCAGTGTTGTCAACCTTCTTTCCATGATCGCTCCCCTACAGGATCTTCTGAGACTTTTTTGTCCTAATTGCCCCCCTTAAAATGTTAATAGCACAGACAGACTGAATTCGGTTTATGTTATACATCCGCCTCTGTCCTTCATACATAAAGAGTTAACTTTTTGTAAGCTTCCTCCCAGGAACCGGTTGCCCACAGTAAGAATGCATGATTTACAGGGCTCACAAGGATGTGTTAAAACTGGCATTTTCAGCCACTGATGGAGTGAATGATACAATTTTTCTGGGACAGCAAATTTCTGATGTGTTTAGAGCCTTAAGACTTTTTGTGGATGTTGTAATTCTCGCTTCTGACAGTCTTTCTTAAGTGCAAAGATTTTGGCCTTATTACTTATAATAACACAATACTAGGAAAGCCAAGTAACGTGGAAATGGTTAAGTGAAAGAATGAGTCATTAAAAACTCAATAAAAGGACGCAAGATTTAAAATAAGCCTAATGGCTAACATGCATTCTGCTTCTAGAATATGCTCAGTCGTGCTGGCGTTAACTTGCATTTGCACCCAGAACAGCATTGGCGTGGGTGGCAAGTTTATTCTCCCATCAGCCGAAGCCCAGAGACACTTGCCCCCGGCCACACAGCTATCGGGAGAACCCGAACCAGAAGCCAGTGTTTCAGACTTGGGAACCCTCTTCGACCACCCCAGAGACAGGTGTTCAGAGCCCTAAGATGAACAGAGCACCGGGACCAGGGCACTCAGGGTAGACCTGATTCCTGATCATGTTTCTCACCCAGTCTGGTAGGAAAGCGTGTTTTCTTATTGCATAATCTTAGTATGATTGCACTTTGACTTTGATCTGATTTCAGCTTGCTAACAGTGATGTCCGTGATTGGAGAGTTCAAGATTATGGTTTAGATGTCCGTGATTAGAGAGTTCAAGATTATGGCCTTGCATTTTTTATAGAAACTGGGGAGACAGCTCTGAGGTTCAGGTCCTACGGTGCTGGGCGCCCTGGACGAACCAGGGCCAAGTGTTGTCCAGTGTGCTTCAGTCTCACTGTAAAAGTGACAGAAGGTTGTTTGGATGATTTGTAAAATGTAGGGAAATGCTGAGACAGAAATTGCCCATAATTTCACTATGGTTGGCTTTTTTTTCTCTCTGAGCTCTTTTTATCTCAGCTTCACATATATATGCATTTTAAAAAGCAAAATTGGGATTAGATGGAATATATAATTTTATCCTGCTTTTACCCTGAACAAAGAGGTGTGGGTTTATAAATCAGTGTGGGCGTTTTCCTTGTCGTGAATGCTTCAGACATGTTTTTGTCAAATGTTCCACTGAAGAGTTAGATATACCACTTTCCTACCATCGGGACACTTAGGTTCTTAAATATTCCGCGTCCCGAGCAGTAGACATTCTCATACATAAACCTCTACCTCTCCTTTGGCATATGTCGTAGATATAGATTTGCCAAATCAGAGAATCCAAAATGGTGGACTTGGTAAAGGGAAAAATAATACTCATTTTACGACACTTGTATTAGTTGGATTGTGTCTTTAAATATTTATTTTCCCCTTGCTTTCTTTAACTTGTCTTGTTCAGTGATTTTTAAGTCCCTCTCTAGCTCTTCTATTGTATCACAACAGTCCCTTTGAGGAACTGGTCTTCCGATTATTTGTCTTGAGGATTTTGAGTGGAAATCTCTATGTCTGTATAAACATGTCCAATTCAACTGGACCGTAAAATTTAGTTAGCTGGTGTTTGAGTTTGTAGCACAGGGACAGAGACCTGAAAATATGCTGAGCCCAGGAGAGCCTGCCCATCCTGTGCCATTTAGATGTTATTTAGATTCAGTGTACACATTCATCTCCTCACTCAGTTTTCCAGTTTGCAGCAGTTTTTAACCCAACCTCAGATTATCTTAAAGCATTTTGAAGGATTAACAGTGGCTTAGACGCTCCCTTAGTTAGATTTCACCTGCACTTCTGTAGCCCAAGAAGAGAAACCACTGGGTTTGGGTTTTTTCCTCCAAGTGTAATGCCAGGTTGTAAAAAACGAAAGGAGGGGCGATGGGGATGGCTGGGTTGGTGTGTGAGTCCTTTCTCCAGTTCCCTGGTTCTCACATTTGGGTTAGATACTCAAGCCTCCTTGGAGGAAGTTAGTGAACCTCGTATCAGTGCTAATTCTGGTTCACTGGTCCCTGCCCCCTCCTGTGGCGCAGCTAAGCAAGGTCACAGTCAGTGGGGGCACTCATAAATTGAACATGTGTATTTCACAGGTGGCACCAAATGAAAGCCATGTGCTGTCCCCAACAGCTGGTGTTGAGAAATTTAGAACTGAGACCTCAGATCCTGGAGGTAGCCAGGGCTCCTGGAACGACTCTGGGAGGGGTGTGGGCTTCACCTGGGGACACAGTGTGCGTGCTGATCCCCACGCTTGGGAAGGCTACATCAGTTAGTTAATGGTCACAGATGCCGCCCCCAGAGTCAGCTTTATCCGTGGTGAGCACAGCCAGGACTCTACAGGGCTGGGGCTGGGGGTAGAGTGGGGCGAGGAAAGGAATGCGGAGCTGCCCTCCCCCGTTGGCTACGGGGACTGCAGAGGGACCATTGGCACCAGCCGCATTTCTCATTGTGATGGAAGCAGCCTGTGAGCCCAAGTTAAGACTACTCTGTGGAAGACAAAAGGCTAGGAAGCTGCTAAGTGGCTCGCCCTGAGAGTCAGCTCCCGGGCGGCAGGACCAGGAGCATCACTCCGTTCCCATGCGGACATAGGGCCAGGCTGGTCATTTGCCCCCAGGCTGGGCATTTGCCGGAACAGAAGAGGGAAATCAGGTCTGTGGAGAAGATGAAGCTCATTTTTGTAACAAGGTCAGAATGCTGGCCACACCGCCTTGGAAACTCTGCTCAGTTTAGACCAGAATATGGTGCGTAGGGCCCCCTGGTGGCCGGAAGGAGCAACTATGTGCTGTGCTTTTTCTTGATATCCCCCCCACCACCGGATGGGTGGGGGTCCACCCCATGTCCCCCACCCTCCGCCCTGCCCCCAAGAAGTAATGAACAAGATCTGCACGGTCTCAATAAAAGAGAAATGGAAAAACTTTTCTTTTGTTTGCTTAGAGGAAGAGCCTGTACTGAGGGGTCAGACAGACAAGGCATGAAGTGATAAATAGGAAAAGTATGGAAAGACGGAAGTGGACCCGGGGGGCCTACCTGGACCTACCCTAACGGGACTGACATACGAGAGAGTGTGTCAAAATCATGAGCACACACCAGCTCGTTTATCACTTACCTTGTGTCTTTATATAGAACAAACCTGAAGTTCCAGGGAGAAGGAATTTAAGAACTCATGACTGCCCGCCCTGGCCAGGTGGCTCAGTTGGCTGGAGTGTGGTTCATTACACCAAGAGGTTGCGGGTTCGATACCAGGTCTGCGTGTGTATGGGAGGAAACCAATTCACGTTTCTCTCTCTCTCAAATCAATAAAAACATATTTTCCGGTGAGGATTTAAAAAACAAAACAAAAACTTAGGGCTTCCTGAAATGTTCTGAATTTTTAACAGGTTCTGACTGATTTTCATGCTGTGTGCTCAGATATTAGAGGTGTGATACTGTGTGTATGTCAGAATGTGGCACTGTTTGATCTAAAGGTTTAGCTTTTACCATTAAAAAAAACCCCACAGACTTAATGCTCAAGTATATGGGCTTTTTCAAGTTGCCTTGATCAAGTGTTGAAGACACACAGTTTGCCTTTGTAACTCTCGAAGAGTTTAGGCAACAGGACACCTGAGAGCTGCCAGCCCTCAGATCAGTGCAACGTGTGTGTCAAACAGATGGCGAAAACATAAAATAATACTACAGGTGCTAAAAAGGAGCCGTGTTTTGCACCTCATCAGCTTTTAAACAAACGTAAGGATACAGAACCCTATTAAAAAATGGCAGTAGAATTTTAATATCTGTGCGGCTGTTTCCTTAACGTAATAATATTAAAAGCCTAGATACAGAATGAGATCGGTGCCAGGAGTGAAGTCATGGTTTAGATAAAAATGCTGCTGACTCTGGGTCTTAGGCATCCCAGCGACTTTTAAACCCTCCCCGGGTCCCTGTGCAGAGCCTCGCTGACCGCTGACGGGCCAGCTGCAGGGAGGGCTGCGCTCCTCCCCAACGAGACACACGCCACTGCGGTCCCCGGGCGGCGAGGGCGGGGCCAGGCCCCAGGCGGCGGGCCGGGGCGGGTCGGCCTATAACTGCCCGGGAAAGGCATCCTCGCCGCTTTGTGCTGCAGCTCCCCGGGCACCTGGGGTTCTTCCTGCTCCTCTGAGGGCGGCTTGGCACTTGGTTCTCTCTGATCACAGCAAGACTGCCCGGTGTGGGCAAGACCCGGGCCAGGACCGGCCGCCCTGCCCAGCCGGAGGAGCTGGTAACTATGCTGAGGATCATCACAATCTCAGGTAAGGCGGAGTGGCAGGTGGACTGCGTGCTTGCTTCCCTCCAGCCTGCGTTTGGGTGGGGACCTGGGGTCAGTGGAGGGACATACAGATCGGCGTCTGATTCTCTCAGTGTGCTGACTTTTTGATCAGAAGAGCCTTCTCTCTGTGGCTCAGTGAGACCCAAACAGACCTGAGGCTTTCATTTGGCCAGTGCAGGAAATCTTCCCGCTGTGCCTAGGGGTAGACCTTGAAAGTTATTTTGTTAGGGACTGTCCCCCTTCCCCCTTGTGGAGAGGGAGGGCCCCGCACCCGCCAAATCGACTCATGTTAGATTGGGGTGAATTTCCAAATGGGTTGTGACAGTCTAATCACTTGCTGTGGTCATAAAATATTATTTTCCTGTTTTGGAGAAATTGCATTGTTTGCATGTTGACCTGCTTATCGGGAACTTGCAAGGAAGGGTACACAGTACACTTGGCGATTTAGGGGACAGAAGTGTTAGCACTGGTTTAAATGGGGGTCTTAGTAAATCCACGGTTACTGTAAAATCGGTGGCCAGCAGGTAACAGCATCTAGGCAATGAATGTTTGTTTCTTAAGCTTGCTTTCTAGAAGTCTGGCTGAGTATGAATTATATATTTCATACCTAACCTCCAGCAAATAAATTACATATATCAAACTTGTGGAATGTGCTTGTAGCTCCTCTAACCTGGTTTTTATCATGTTGTGACTCCTTAGGAACCTGCCTGTTTTCCTCTCTCCCATTTCCCGCCATCAAAATGAAACTCCGTTTGCTAGTTTAGATTTAAAGGCCAGCTCTTTATATATTTGAGATCATAGCTCACCAAAGCTCCATAGTTTCTTTAAAGCACAGTATAGAAGAATTCCTAGGACTTAAATTTTTTCTCATAATTGCTTCTGTAAAGCTTTGTCCTCTTATAGAATTTTAAGTGAATGTGAAAGTTTAGCCAAACTAAAAATATCTCTCACTTCCTATAGATTAGCTTGTTTACTTTGAGATTTCCTTAAAATTCCTTCTCCAAGTTAACTTGACTAGACTTTCTATCATTTATCTGGCACGAAAATTTACATGGTACCTAGAAGTTATTATTAAATAGACTATACAAAATTTAAAAATTAAAAACACAAAACGCTCCACTTTTTCCAGATCATTACTTTCTCTATGAATGAAATACACAAATGCCCAACCCTGAGAGATGCTGCCTTGGGAGTGTGGTTTGTGGGTGTCATGACTGGGGGTGGGACTTCTCCCATCAAAACTTTTTTCTGGGTGCTTTTTGTGTATACAGCCTGGCCTTTATTATATTCACTGTTTGGTTAGTTTATCATATGCTGAGTTTCTTGTGGGAAAAAAAAGGTGGTCCTTTTTAGCACCAATTAGGAGTTAAACTTAGAAAACTTGAGGGGGGCTTTACAGATTGGTTCAGGTGATCCCAGTGGAATCCTATGTGATCGAAGCAATTGAAAGGACTCTAATTTTTAAGGCAACCTCAAGTAACTGGTCCTATTGCTTTCTGACTTCTACTTCGGTTATAATGGGGAATGTGACAAAATTTAGTACTTTTTCCTGGTAATAAAGAAGTGCACAGAAACTCTTAACTCCAAAAATTGTAACAGCACATAAACATTTCATAGTGGAAAAGGGGAATTTCAACTTTTTTTTTTTTTTTGGTCTGCAAGTTTTCCTGATAAGATTTACAGCCAGTTGTGTTTAAATAGTTGATCAGAATCTTGAAAGCAATGAAGATTTTTCTAATTGGCACTCAGGGTTAATTAAATATCAGGTTACTCACCTACACGTGAGCGTTAGTGGAGCCCTCTTTAGTGCTGCGTTATGCAAGGAGCATTTCAGTTGCACAATTAGTAGCAAGGGGAGAGAATGATGACATTTTTGCAGAATTACTTAGGAGCAAGCTTCCATTTCTGAAAGCAGGGAAAAGCTGCGGCTGATGGAACTGACCCTCCCCTTCCTGACCCCCACCCCATACACACCCCACTGAAATGGGGGCAGCAGGACTTCATTATGAAATGACTGATCATTCACATTACACGCTATTGAGTAAGTGATTTGATATGATTATCAAAGAGGTATCCTCTCCCTCGCCCACCCCCGTATCAGTGGTGTGCCACCAAAAAAAAAAAGACCCGTAGAGGACCATGAGGAATTAGGGCGACATCCTTCTTTGAATCTAAAGTAAACGGGGGGAAAAAGACTCCTCCAGCTTTCACGCAGGGACTAGATTATTTATAATGCATTTCTCTATGTAAGTCATTTTATAAGATGAAATAAAACCCCTTCACAAGGTTGCTTTCATCTGCTGTGGAGGCAGATTAGTTGTCAAGAAACTTGTGGGACATGAAATTGATACCCTCACAACTGGTAGAGTAAGAACTGCCACTTACCGAGTGCCCACCGTGTGGCCATTCCTGTTCCTCACAATAACCCTGCAGAAGGGCTCTTTCACTCCTTTTTATCCTGGAAACTTTCTCTGGGTCCATGGCTACCTTGCACAGGACCCTTTCTCATGGTGTAGGATGCACACCATTGAACGTCCTGTGAGGCCAGGGGGTGACCTGTGTGCTCCTGGAGTGGGTTTCGCTTATCTGAGTTTTAATCCCAGCTAAACATCTCCCCTTGGAGGTTTTGTGGTAATGAGCCCTGGAACAAGGGGAGTTGGGTGTGTAGGATATAAGGGATGGATTCAGAATGTGGAGAATTCCTGGAAGCATTCCAGGGCAATGCTGCAACTCGTAGGGGAAAGTTAACCAGTTCCAGATGTCACCGCAAGCCGTCCCGCTGTGCCTGGGGAATGGAGAGCACTGGTTACACTAAACTCAAAAATTAAATGATTGAGATAGTAAAAAAAATGGAAAAAAGAAAAAAATTTAAATGAATTAGTCCTGGCTGGTGTGGCTCAATGGAGAGCATCAGCTTTCTCACTGAAGGGCCTCAAGTTTGATTCTTGGTCAAGGGCACATACTTGGGCTGCAGGTTCGATCCCTGGCCCCGGTCCGAGAGTGTGTGGGAGGCAGCCAATCAATGTGTCTCACATCGATCTTTCTCTCTTTCTCTCTCTCCCCCCCTTCCCTCCCTTCCACTCTCTCTAAAAATCAATGGAAAAAATATCCTCTGGTAAGGATTAACAACAACAAGAAAGTTAAACGAGTGAAAGCATCTTGTATGTACATTATTTTTAAAATCATTTCTCCCTTCCAAGTAATGTTTTCAGCGTATGGACAGTCTCACAGGCATATTAGCATCTTCTCCCAGGAAAAGGGAATCGAAATGTATGGTGTCTGGGGTGATGCTCTTTGAAGAAGCCACTCATTGATGTCGCTTCCACTCACGGTTGATGAGAGGTCACACAAACCAGGTACCAGGCAAGACTGTTGGGCGCGGTGCCCATGAGTGCGTGGACCGTGGCAATACCATAGTATTTCCTGCCCTTTTAGGTGGCCGTGGGGTGGGGAGAGGACCAGTGACCGGCAGGGACAGTGTGAAGAGGGAACTGTCTGCCAGCTCTGCCTCCTGGAGGTGTTTCTAGTTGACACACTGACCGGCCCCCTTCCCAAAATTTCCTGCCATCTTTGATGCCTGGTGAGAGTGTGGCGTTTGCAGCTGAGCCACGGCCTCAGTGAGTGAGCACCGAGTTTGGACTTTAGGGGCAAATGAGAGACCTGCTGGATTAATAGGCTTCTTCTACATGGCCAGATAATTCAAAGGCCCACGGGAGTGAGAATTATATGCTGTGTCAGAGAGGCCCATTCTAAAATCAGTTGTTCCCATGGAAGGCTTTTTGGGTGCTGAGAAAGGGCATGCCTAAATCGGTGACGCTTAGGTGACCAAGCTGTTTTGTCTTCCTCTCCCTGTCCAACCAGACAAACCCAAGGCAGATAATGATTCTGCTAGGAGCCGGGGTGTTAAATTATAGAGGGGGGTTGATGTCATTTAAAAGTACAGTTGGTAGTAAAACGTTTGTAAGTGCGATGATGAATGAATGGACTGTGCTTTGCTGACTCTGGACAGGCGAACTCTGGCCTGCCGTTCCCAGAAATTACCAGCCTCCTGTCACTCGCCTGCTCCCTTCACTCCGAGTAGCCAGACCTGCTGGCTTGGTTCTCTCCTACCTGTGGCCCACATCTTTGCGTGTGTTTTTCAATCCTCACCAGAGATATGTTTGTATTGATTTTGAGAGAGAGAGAGAGAGAGAGAGAAATATCAATGTGAGAGAGAAACATCAATCAGTTGCCTCCCATACTTGCCCCGACCAGGGATCGAACCTGCAACCTAGGTCCGTGCGCTCGACTGGGAATCGAACCCCGTAGCCTTTTGGTGCACAGGATGATGCTCCAACCAGCTGGGCACCCCGCCAGGGACGTGCCCCACGTCTTTTAGGCTGTCCTTTTTACTCCATTTGCTCGCGGAGCTATGATCTCTAACTCATTCAGAACCCATGTGCAGGCAGCACATAGTAATACCTTAAAAAGGTTCCTGCGAAGCAGAAGCTGGGAATATGAGTGAGGAAGACGATGGCTGCTGGGCCGTCTCTGCCTCCAGCCGGAGCCTGGGAAATGTGAGCTGACTTTGGTGTACATTTAGGCTGGGAAGGTGAGGAAGGAATTTAGCAGAGAAAAGAGGGCCGCAGCCGTGTTTGATCCACACTGAGTCCAAAACGGGGTGCAGAGTCTAGATCTTTACATGGTGCAGAGAGAGAGGCGAGGGGGTGTCTGTGCCCCGTTTTTCCCCCTTGAAATGTTTATGTTGGAAGCCACAGAGGTAGACATAGGTGCGATGAGGCATCGCCTTTCAGAATTGGAAAGCACCCGGCGCTCTGTGTCTCCGCAGGGTCCTCTGGGCCTGAAGACCTGGGAAAGCGGGCTTCCCGCCGGGGACGGCAGGCTGTTCGATGCTGCCCTCTTCTGTTCAAAACGATCAGGGCTTCGCACCAGGATTTCCGACGCGTGTGACAGAATTGGACCAATGCAGAGTGTTAACCACGG